AAGCCTTCCCTGAACCCCTCCCCAAGCAAGATTAGGTGCCTTTCCTCTGAAGTACCAGCATGCTGTGTGTAATGCTCTGTGTTTTCTTCCCTAGGCTGTGAGCCTCTCAAGGCCATGGACAGTGTTGTATTCTTCCCCGTAGCCCAATGCCTAGCATATAACATGTGTCCTATAAGTATTTGCTCCATTAATAAGTGAATGAGTTGGAGGTGTTAATGCTCTTGTAGGGCCTGGACTAAGAATTGCCACTGTAGCTGAGCTTCTATTTTCCTGGCATTTCCTATAGGCGGAAACACCTCTGGCGAACACCCTCACATCTGAACTTGGAGGTAGATGTGAGTGGCAGAAGACCTCTTTTCCTCTTCAGTTATTTTTTTGGAACCCATGTCAATGATTTTATTCACCTCATTAAGTAATGAGAAAACCTCACGTTACAACCTGTTCCGAGGAGAATTCAAAGCACCTTTCTCCACTTAAAAAATCCCTTCATCTACGGCTGTATGGCTCTGTATCGCTGAGGGCCGACAAAAGCTCTCCCCTCCAGGCACCTGGCCTCCAGTGGGAAGGACTGGGTTGACAGCCTTCTTTTCTTTGTGAAGCTCTTTCATTAAGGAGCTTTAAAAACATTCAGGAAATATGGAAACAGGCACTTGATGGGATCATTGGACCTATGAACCAACTCTGAAATCTCCTGCTTCTGGTCTTCATGTTAAACAAGATAATGTTTATTTGGAGGAAAAAATATAGGAAACCTTTTTATGATCTGTCCTTTGAAAAGCAAGGCTAAATATGTTTTGATGGCCTGCCACAGAGGGCCATATGTGGACAAATCAAAATGATGAGAGGAAGCCTGGGATCCAGCAGGTGACTAATGAAAGTAGAACTTGGGGCCAGCCCACGGCATAGTGGTTAAGTTTGCGCACTCTGCTTTGGCGGCCCAGGGTTCGCAGGTTCGGATCCCAGATGTGGACCTAGCACTGCTCGTCAGGCCATGCTGTGGCAGCGTCCCACATAAAGTAGAGGAAGACTGGCACAGATGTTTGCTCAGCGACAATCTTCTTCACAAAAAAAGAAAAAGAAACTAGAACTTGTTGAGTGCTCGCTATGAGCCAGAGCGTGATAAGCATCGACTCATGTAATCCTTGCAACAACCCTGTGAGGCAGATACTCTTACCGCCATCATTGCGCACCGTGAAAAGTGGGACACAGAGACCTGAATGAGTTCTTTAGGGTCACTTAGGTGTGAAGTGGTGGGGCAAGATTTTAACCTAAGTAGTCTGACTCTAGATCCGTGTTCTCAACCACTACACTTTACCAATATTTGATAGACGGATAAACGAATTAATGTACTGGAAAGCATTGTGGGTTGTAGGGCTGTCTGTGCTGGATCAGGACCCCAAAATCTGATTTTATTCCAACTGGGATATGGATCTCAACTCTTTCTATGATCATCAGGACGTTTGGGGGCGGAGGGGTGTCTGAGCTGGCAGACGTGATTCTGAAGGACTCCTCGTGTCCAGCCTAAAGCAGCCTGCCTCTGATCTATTGAACCCAAACTTCTGTAGGTGGGCTGGAAGTTTCTCCCAGACAGCAGGTTGTGTGAGAGAAAACCTCCTTGAATGGAGAAGCAATCTAAAGAGAAAGGGTGGGGGGGTCAAAGAGAGAATGATCCCCAAACAGGCCTTTCCAAATAGGCTGCAGCTGCTTTAAAAAAATTCTTTGTTCTTCCTGATGAAAACTCCGTCTTCAAGATGCCGCCATCATTCATGGGGTGAGCTTCCCCTAGTGTGTAGAGTGTGCACCAAATGTTGGGCTCTCGGTCCATGTGGGTCACTACCTCACGGAATGACCTTGAACACTGTTGTGCAATCACAGTTAGCTTATCTACAAAATGGGAGGACAATATCAGCCGCAAGCAGGAAGCTGGGCTGGATGATTTCTTAAGGCCTCTTCCAGCTCTAGGATATATGGCTCTAAACTAAGGGGTTGCAGCATTCACATTTTCTCATTCATTTTACCCTTTGAATCTCCAAATTTATATTCCTATTTTTTTCAGTGACACAAGAATATTCAGAGCAGCCTTAGAGGTGGTTAGAGGGGAGAGCAAGCTGGGCAAGCTGTGTTGACAATCCTGAGGCCCCCGAGTTTGTAGTCACTGGGGAGAGAGGACCTCATGGAGGAGGGCTCCAAAGATAGAAGAGGGGTAAGTCTTTGGGGGACTAGAATTAGAAAGAAGATGCTAGGACACAGGAATTGAGACGTGAATAGTGGGCCTCACGAGAGACAGTCTAACCCACAGAGTAAGAATAACGATGGTGGGGTCAGACAGCCCAGCCTCCCTGCTCCCTGGCTGCATGGCCTTCAACAAGTGGCTTTATTTTTCTGAGCCGCACTGTCCTCCTCTGTAAGAGACGCACAATAATAGCACCCACCTCAGGACTAACTAAGATCATGCTTAGCATAGTCCCGGCACATGACTCACGTTCAGTGAATGGCGGCTGCTGTTGCTGCTGCTTTGCTGCCATCGTTACTGGAGGTTCCCCACCGGGGATCCACGAACTGAGTTGTTCTGGGTCTGTGGCACTGCATGATAGGTGGCTCATAATAGTGGTTAAGGGTGTGGGCTCTGGAATCAGACTGCCCAAGTTTTAATCAGTATGAGCACAGGCAAGTAACATAACCACCCCGTGCTGCCATTTGCTTTCCTATAACATGGGAATAGAGATTTACTTCATAGGTTATAATGAGGATCTAATGAGAAGCTAAATGTTCAAAAACCTGGAAAAGAGCCTGGCAGGCGGTGAACACTCAATGGACATTATCTGGGCCTTTGGATGCCTAAGCACCTAAGAACATGACTCATATTTCCTGAAGACATGACAGCAGTCTTGGTTTGGGCATAAGTGGCATCCCCAGTTGGGATGGAAGATCAAATCCAGTCACTCTGAGAAGAGGATGTATGAAGTTCTGCCTAGGAGGAGGTGAAAATGTAGCCACTTCAGTTGTTGTTAGCCATTTCCACAACCCTTCCCTCCTTCCCTCCCTCCAATTGGAACTCATTCCTGTAGACTGCCTAAGGAGAGGGGCTGAGCTCCAGGACATAACGCTCCCCCAGCCCTCACCACTGGTCCTCTTATGCAAGTGCTCATTTGGGCTTGTAGGAGGAGCGAGTGGTCCTGAGCACGTAGCTGCATGCTAGGGGTGGCAGTAGGCATCCTGATGTGCCAAAGGGGCAGTGATCTCCCCTGTTTCCATGACTGTGTTGAATGTTCCTATAACGCACCTCTAAAATCCAAGAGAAGCAAGATTTTTATAGCAAAACTGGACTTTGGGTAAGTGGGCTATTTTGGGACTTAATTTTGTTGCACTTGCGGCATCCAGAAATTGTTGATATTGACTTACTGGAAGGTAGGCAGTGTTCTGCAGAGGGGTTTAGGGGGCAGCACTTCAGTAAGCAGAGGAAAGGGTTTTTCAGGGCTTTCTAATGCAACAACATTTGCTAATGTGTGTATAAGTGGACAGTAAACGTGGATAGCCAGTCAACGTGAGCATAGGTCAAGATGGGAAAATCAGTAACAGAAAACTGGAAAGGGTGGGAGAAGGGGGCTCAGAGATCTAGAGGCAGGGCTCCTTGGGGCCTGTACTTTTCTGTCTTGACCAGGGCATGCCTCTAGGTTGGGCTGACCATTGGCAAGTCTGGCTGGGAAGTCTCTGCATTACGTGGAAGGGAGTACTGACACCAGCCCCTTCCCATCCCACCTCAGTCTCCCGGGAGTGAAGAAATCATAAGGGAGGAAGGCAAAGTTTAAACATCTGGGAGCCGGTGGGTCTAGGGCATTTCTCCTTCCCTTTTCTTGCTCCTATCTCATTTTGAGACTGGGAGTTCCTTCTAGGAAGGTATCTTTGACCCTGGAGGACTCAAAGGAGCCAGGGTGGATCCCAGAGGAGAGGAAGCAGAAAGTGTTGGCTTTGGTTTTGGCTTTGGCTTTGCTCAAGGCCTAGAGGACAACTGCAAACAAGACTTTCTTAAGAGATGATTCAGCCCAGTTCTCCAGAGAGAGTCAGGCAGGCATTCTGGGCAGAAGAACTGCCTTAGAAGGAGGATTGTGCCTTTGGCCAGAGCGTACTCTATCTCATGGGAACCGGAGAGTGGCAGACTGGGCACAGAAGGGCAGAGTCAAGCATTTCCTCTGGGGCCTAGTGGGGCAGGAGTTCTGATTTTTCTCAATTGCCCAAAAGATTGTGTTACAAAGAACAAGGTCAGGCCCAAGTGGAATTTTTTATGATTTCATTTCTTTTAATTGTCCCACTCCATACGTGTTTTTTTCTTCAGTGGTAAAATAGAACTTGTACGACGTCATCAACGGCCTGAGACTAAAATCAGTACTGTAAAGAAGATGTGATGTTGCTGAAGCTCTCTTGCTGGAGTCAGCTCGGTCAATATTGCTTATTGTCCCAGTCAATTTTACCAGTTTTCCTGTCAAAAGGTTCATGCTTTGGGCCTTAGCTGTGGCCTATTGCTGAGAAACAGTTTAATTGAAATAAAAACATGTAATTTGCTTTAATGACCATTTTATAAAAATGCCAAAGAAAACAGACTAAGTAGTGTGTTCTCCTTTAGGCAAACCCAACATATGAATGGATTTACAAATAAACTAGGGGTGTATGATTGGCAAAATGCTTCAACGTAATTCTTTAAATAACAAGCTTTTCTGGTGCATTTTTAAAACAATTAATTTATGGCCAGGTTTCAGAACACATCAGTCACATTAACCAGTTCACACCTGCCTCACTATGCCCTACATAAGAGCTTACTGTCTGAGTGCAGGTCTCTTTCCCTGAAAGATCATCTGGTCAAATGTGTTACAACCAATAGGAACAAAAACAAACTAGATGTTCCAATAGCTTTCCTTTCTCTTCAGCTTCCAACAAAATGATCCTGAAGTTATTTGGGAAATTCTTGCCCTAAGGTTGTGGGTAGAATTTTGTTAGATACAAAGTGAGACAACAGGAAACTTTTTTTTAATGAACAAACAGCTTTCACAGAGACTGTCTATATCACATTGTTATTACAACATAGATGAGCTGAAATTTTTCTTCTGTACAGATTTGGAGGAAAGAAAACCCTAAAGAGAAACCAAGCATACAGAGGTAGTTGAATAGCAATATGGAAAAAACAAAAGCATTATCTTAATTCCCCTTTCGGTTCATTACAGTGCAAGAGTAAAATGGCTGCTTAACAAACAACTGGAATAACTAACAAACAGACAAACACATTTGCCACTGTTGAAATGGCTTGCTTGATAGTTTAATCCTGGCATTACTGAGGACTGTATAAAATGATGGAACTAGTTCATCTAAGATAAGCCTATGATGCCACATTGACCTATTTGCTCTCCTTTTATTTTGTTGTTGTTTATTCTTGTTGCTTTGACAATAGATAAATGTTAAGCAACTTTTAAAACAATGCATTAAGCTACAATATTGCTTTGTAAACTTGTTAATCACATTTGCTGCAACAAATTTTTAAACGGCTACAGAGTCACGAAGCAAAAGCTTTAGAATGACACCAGGAACGGAGATTACAGGCACTTCTCTCTCAAGGTTAACTTAGAGCATTTGAAAATACCCATTTGTAAGTGAAAATATCTTCATTTCACCTCTGGATGTGCATAACCCAGATTATTAAATAGTTGACAGCGGAAGCTATCATTCTAGGAGGAACTAAATGAATACATTTTACATGGCTCCTTTTCCCTCTTTCTCTCTGTACTCAGGAAGGGCTACAGACTGCAGCCCACGCAGCCAGCTGCTTTTCAGAACTGTCTTCGATCATAAATCAAAACCTCATTCTTCAAGCCCAAGAATGAGCTGAAAAATCTGTCCTTTTCCATCATTTGGGCTGCCTTCCATTTGCATCTTTATGACACACCTCTGCTATGATTCTGCCTTGGCAAACAGAAATGGATGCAAAGTCAACAGGTCAGGAACTCAAGCAGTGAGTCCCTGAATAAAACTTCCATCTTGGAAATGGAGTTGGCACTGGGGAACACAGGCCCCAGTGGATTCCAGTCTATCAACGGTAAGCCATCTGTTGATGGTAAGAGACCTCTGGGCACTGTGAACCAGCCTCAGGAGCTCCACTGTTCCAACAGCCAGTCACAGGGGATGACCTGAGGCCAGGCCAGCTCCACAGGCAGAGCTGGAAGTGCCACAAGTGCAGTGACTTGACTAGCCCTGTGCTGCTGAGCAGCACAGGGCTAGAAGCAGTTGGCCTTCAGAAAAGGCAAATTGTTGAAATAATCAGTTCTCTACTCTGCTAAGTAAGGGGCAAGCACACTTTTCTCCAAGTTGTCTACAGAAAATTAGTTTTATCATTTTCCATTTTCTACATTTTGCTGGTTATTAGCTAGCAGCAGTAGTACAGTACATAGCAGAAAGGCATAATGTCTGCTTGGTACCTAATATATACACACATATACATACATACACACACACGTACACACATATATATATATATATATACATATATACATATACATACACACAGAAAATAACCTACTAGGAAAAGACCAGGTGAGTCATGACGATAGGAAAACTAACCAAATAAATGGCACTATCTACCAAGGGGGAAGTCTTGGCCTTCTGGCCTAGATTTAGCTTTCTGTTTTTTCTCTCTATACTCTTCATTCCCAAGCTTCGCAGCAAAATCAATTTACAAGCAGTGAAATGGTCATGTCCAACTGATCACCCCGTTCAAGTACACCCCAAAGAAAGCCAAGGCTTAGCCTTGCATTGTGCCTCCCACGGCTACTGAAACAAAAGCTTGCTGCACAATAACCCAAAGGCATATCTAGGCTGCTGAGAGTAAAGTGCAATTCTGCCTAGCCAAGACCTCTAGCTGTGGGAGTTTGGTACTCACTCATCAATGTGAAGCATCCTATGATGTGGAATTTTACTTAAAAAATCAAACTTCCCTTTCTACCTAGATTAAGTAGGGATGCATCAGGTAACCTAATTTTACTTAACCTGCAACTTCTTATGGTGAACTTCTGGGACGCTTTTGTGACTTGATTGCCATGTCTGTTTCATAAAATTATGTGTAACACAAACAATTTAAAATGTTAAAAGTCTGCAAAGTAATGGGTTCCAAATCAAGCTTGGCTATCTGCTGGCTGGCTGTGTTACCTGGGCAAAGTACTGAACACTGCAGAGCCTCAGCTCTCTCATCCATACTATGGGGATGAGAACTGCCCTCACAGCGTTGATGGAAAAAAGAAAGAATTTCATCAGCTCACGTATGTGAAATCGCCAGGCTCAGTAAGTGGTACACAGTAGGTTCTCGACACGCTTTTGTTGGGGCAACATAAAGAAATACCATGAACTAAACACAAAAGTCGTACACCGTAAACTCCGCTCACCCTGGCGTGGCTGAGATTCTCAGTACACTTTGGGGAGCAGGGACTGACGAGCTGGTCATCCTAAAGGAGCTGGAACGCAAGGCTCCCAGTACATCAGAAATTCCAGACCTCCAAACAACACTGCTTTTTGGCCCTACTGAAATAGGAAAAGGTGGCTGGCACAGAATTCTCCCTTATCTCTGATCCTCATTTGTCCTCCCATCTTTTCACTTTCCCAAACAGACTTGACTCCAAAAGGAATTACCTGTAAAGCATCAAGTTATGGTCCAAAAATCAGTGCTGTGGATTTCCCCAGCCAAATTTAAAGGGGTTGGAAATGGGTATTGTGTATAAAGGCAGTGTTTTATGCAAATACAGGCCCCTGATGATATTCCCTAACTATGAATAATCTAATCATAGTTATTATTTGTTGAATGTCTCCCATGTGCTAGGCACTGTGCTAAGTGATTTACATATATTACCTCATTTAATGTTATAACAACCCTATCTGTGGTATTTATCACTACCATATGCTAGATGAGGAAACTGGGGCTCAGAAAAAGTTAAATCACAAAAGTAACACATCCAGCAAGTGGAGAAGCTTATGACGCTTTTCTTTGTTGCATTTACACTAGATAATAGGAAACTATGGTACTAGGACTGTGTTATGACCACATGGCTGGGCACGAAGTAGGAGAAAGAGCTTTTAACTTCCCGCTCCCTGAGCCTGTTAGAGTTTGCTTGGGCAGTACCCACGCCTACACTTCCATTCTCCAACGGCCCAGTCTGGCTCCAAACATCAAACCTGCTAACATAACGCTCTGACAACACAGCATCCATTAAGAAAGCACAGAAAAGGTCATTTGGTTTCTGCTTAGATGAATCTCTTTTATGTTGCCTGGATCATCTCATTTTCCCTTTTCTTTTTCTGGCTACAGGTGATGATGGAAGAAGTCAGACCGATGACTTGAGGCATTAACTTCTCACCTTAACAGAGTGGATGGGCTGCAAGAGGAATAACGCACTGCAGCTGCCCGGTATCTCACGGAGGTGGGGGGGGGGGGGTTGGCTAGAATTTGCGTGAAGGTACGAATGGCATGATTCACTTCTTCCCTGCCCTAACCTTTCCACTCTGTCATTATAACAGTCCCGTACTCACGGTATTTTTCAGGCTCTCCTGGCACTAAAGGAATCAAACCAGCACTAAGCAAGCTGAACCAGGGCTCACTCTCCCCTCTTTAGCCACCATTCTTCCCTATACTGAAATCTTTGGCCCATTGCCACTAGGAGGAAAGGCGGTGCTCAGATAAAATCGTGGACTAGTTGATTCCTTCAAAAAGATTTAAGAACCAAAAAGATAGCTTTGTTTTTTTTATAAAGGCTTCTGCCCTGTCTAGCTTCCTCACACTTTTAATAATGAACAGTCTTTCATCAAGTGTTTCCGCACATGCCAGCCAGGTCACGACCCTCAGAACCCTCAGAAGGGGTGGGGTATGGAGGCTAGTTGGGCATGGCTGTGACACGCCAAATTGAAAAGCATTCCCTCTGAAGAGTTAAATATTATCCTGCCTAAAAATGCCATTCCTAACTGCACTGGGGAGAAATCAGATACACTTATAATTAGATTGCTGAAATAAATGCCTACAATAGATTGTAATAAAAGACACTCCTCTGATTCATCTCTTCATTCCAGAAAAATAATTCCTTCAGCCTTGCTCTGTATAGCACATAGAAAATGGATTATTTTACTTTACCCTGGCTTATTCCATAATCTATGACAAATTCCTGAAGTATTTTATATTGTTGAGTTCAAAATGAAAACAAAATGGAATCTCTGAAGATAGAGGATCTTAGCATGATTCCGAACTTCCTTTAAGCATCCAATTGGATAGATACAAAAACGCTTCAAGAACTGGGACCCTAGGTAGTAAAAAATGGTTAAAGCAAAAATGGCACGTTTCTAGTATTGTTACTTCCCCCTAGGTACATGGTAAACCACATCAATAAATAAAGCAACCGACTTTTCAGTAACGTACACTTAAATAGTTACAAACATACACGTAGAAAAACAAAGGATACAGTAGTGCAAAAAATAAATTATTAAAACAGAAAGAAGTATGAACATTATTTTACACAATGCTATATAAAACCTGAACCATTTGGAATGAGACCTCAAGTCAGTGAAATAACACAGCCACATTATTAGTATCTTTGCTTCACATTTCAACCACACAAGTCATTCTCCTATGAAAGAAAGAAAATTAAAGCAAAACCACTTTAAATTTTCAGAAAATTTTATGTCAAAATCAAAAATTTTTTTTTTTTCTGGGCTCTTAAACACCTCTGCTGTGCATGGAGTTGTGCAGCATGTCAAGAAGCATCTTAAGACAGAAAGTTTCAAACAGGTCACGTTCTTTTGGTCTTTCTATCAATTCTCTCTGTGATCAACAGCAAGGTAACGCCTGTTTGATACTTCTGTCTGTTAAGATGTTATTGCAATTAGATATATTTACAAGACGACTCCCCTAGGGCAGTGGGGAGGGAGGGAGCTCCTCTTCAGCAATCCTCTCTCACTAGTTTTGGTTTCGGGATATAAAGGCCAGGACACGCCGAATACCATTCAGTCTATCCTTTAAGGACTTCATTGCTAGGAAGGGGAGCTGAGCTCGGCTCTCCAACGGAAGAACCGCTAACGTCCACCAGCACCAGGCTGGGCCATTTGGGTTCATCTGCAACAGAGAAACACAGCGGGTTCATCCTATTCCCATGGAAGTGATGTCAGTCTGCAGGTTTCCAAAGCCACAAGGTAAACATCCCAGGTGGAACTGCTTCTGTGTGTGGCACAGACTGCTAATTGCCCCCATATCTATTTCTCCCTTGTCTTAGCTGGGCATATAGCCCCCCACTAAAAAAGACCACATTTCTCAGCCTCCTTTGCGGTAGATGAGGCCATGAGACAAAGTTCTGGCTAAGGAGATGTAAAGAGAAGTGATATGTGTAACTTCTGAGTCACACCCTGGGAAAGGAGCATGTGCCCTCTGCCTTCCTCTTTCTCTCCCTTTCCCAAAGCTAGAACATGGACATCGTGATGATCAGCCTACTTCAATCAGGAGGACGAGGGCAACATTCAAAGGATGGTAGAGCTTTGTGTTGAAGGAGACCAGGTGTCTGAATGACCTCATGGAACAGAGCTGCCCTAACCCTCCAGGACTTACAGCTTCTATCTTGTTTAAGCTATAGTTATTTTTGTTAAAGCAAATGGAAATGGTTAAAGTAGTTAAAGCAAATAAACCAATATCCTAGCAGATACACTACACTTCCTGGCCAGTGTGATTTTATAAGCTGGACTGTCCACTACTTAGTCTCTTCCACTTCCTAGATTCTGTTTAGGTCCTTTGGACTGATGCATAGAACATGTGGGCCTTTGATTCCCACGACCCCCAGGTTTTGCATGTCTCTTAACTCCCTTCATTTTCCTGCTTCTGGCTGAAGGCAACATAGTCCACATGTGCCATGTCACTATATAGGGCCACAGCTAGCTTCTCCCCTAAAACAAAAGCCTGTGATTCACAGCCCACATTGGGCATTCACAGCCCAATGCACAGCAATCTCACTTTGCAAAAATTCCAACTAGAAAACACATTCACGTTAGAAATGTATTCTGTCCCCAGGTTCCCTTTTAATAAAGACTTTCCCATTTGACATAAATCCTTCACCAAATTTCTCTTTGTAAGCAGCTTCCCAGGCACACATTTTGGACACTGGTAACTTATTTCCTACCAAGCCCCAAGTGAGCTTTCTGCCTACAACTTTCAGAAGGTTGCCTTTAGGACTGTGGAGAACCACATTCTGGTCACACCACCTACACGTGGGATTATTTGCCTCCAAATTGATTCATCTGATTCTCTCCCACTCCTCACTGCCCCCTTTGCTTCTCTGTCCCTCTAGCTTCCTTCGGATTCTTTTTCATCTCTCACTGCAATCTGTAACATGCTTTCCCTTCTAGTATCAGTTCTGAACATCAGATTGACATATTCTGAACTTTCTTTCCCAGGGTCACTAACAAAGATATTTAAGCTGATGTTAATACTTGTGGATGTTTCTTAGAAAACTCCTCCCGAGGCTTAGAACATTCTTATTAATGGGACCACTGGGGCTGCAGCATTGACTGGATCAAACTGGATGGGTTTTTTTGTTTTGGGGTTTTTTTTTGCTGCTGCTGCCAAAGTGATATGATAACAGTCCTAATAAGAAAGGAACTGAAACCCAAGATTTCAGCTTTCTGTGTCACTGATCCCTTATGAATCAGTCTGTGGTATCTGTGTTTTCTCTTGTGGAAGATGCTGTTATCATTGCTGATTGCTATCTTCTTCCTGACTGGGGGAAAATGCTTTCCAGAAGGTGAAAGGGAACGTTAAGCTTGATCATGAGCTTGCTCAGAGCTCTGCTGTAGTCCTCAGTCACAGTGGCCCAGAGCCAGGAGCTGGATCATTGGGAAGCGCTAACTGGCCTTTCTCCCTCGACACTCACAATGCCTTTGCATGGGGGAAAGGAGCCACCTTCGTGGTCTGGAGAAAGCAAGACACTTCAGCCCGTTAGGAAACAGACTGGTGTTTTACAGCTTCAGAATGCAAGAAGAAGAGGGGACTTCAGAGATCTCCTCATCTACGACCCTCCTTTCAGAGATGGAAGAAAAGTTGAGAAAGGGGAAGGAACTTACTCAAGGTCACACAGCTAGAGGGGTAAGTAGGCCAGTCTTTTGGCAGGGAAGTCAGAATATACATGTTCTATTTTACTACTGTGACAGAATCAGGAATGCGTGTAAGTAAAGAACTGAAAGAGTTATGGAGATGATGATATAGGAGCGCCAGCTCGGAATGTGAGAAAGGTGACAGTGGGGAAATATTTCACTAGGAGATCTCCAGCCTTGCCCTAGAAAGAGAGTATTCCCTGATTTATACCAGACAAGAAAAGCTTGGTAAAACTTCACTATCTCCACTTTCCTAGAGAGCTTCTGATCTGTAGCTTGATCTCTCGAATGGACCTGTCTCCCCAGGAAACAGACTGGTCCAGTACCCTCTAATGAACTGCCTTCTGGTATAACTCAGCCGAGGGTAAATTTAAAGATTGAGTCAGTTTTCTCAGGAAAACTTGCTCACCCCTGATGAGGACACTGACAAAGGTATAGATCTGAAGGGCTGCACACTGAGGGAGCTGAGGGTAAAATGTTTCTGTGGTCTTGCAGTTAGAATCCTGGAAGGTAGCTGGCCCTGCCTCCTAGGTCCTGAAGCAAGACGGGGGAGAGGGTTATGAAGCTTCCTGGAAGTGGCGGCCTTTGGTCTTAGCTCCCAGGATACCCTTCTCTTAAGCCTGGCCTTTGCATGAATCTCGTCACCATTACCATGCTGTGAATATGGATTCCCACTGAAGGTTCTTCTGTTGATGGTGTCTGTGTTCCCACTTTCACCAGACTTATTTCTCAAAACCTGTCTTGGAGCCAAGTTCCTACTGCTTTCCTTTAGTCACTCCAGTTCTGACCTGGGATACTTTTGGTCTTACCCATGATGCCCACTGCCCAGCCAAATGATACCAGCTTGGATGCATCTCCCCTCTTTACACTTGATTTTCTGGATGGCAACCACACACCCATCTAATCACAAACCCCAGGCTCTCTCATCTGGTGGTGGCAACTGACTACAAAGAGACATTTTTATATACCTGGGGGTCAGCATCTTTCTCTGGCATTGGACCAAAGTGATTGAGTATCCGACTCTTCAGGGATGACTTGAGTGAATGAAACCACGATGCTGCTTGCTCATAGACACAGTTATGTAATCCCATGAGCTCAGCACAATCCTCTCCTTGAACCTGAAAGTATCAAAGTGGAAGTGAAGCATTTTGTACCTTCTCCATCACTCCTAGAGCCCCTTTTGACACCTGACTCTCTGAGCATCCATCCTGTCTCTCTACGGAAATGCTCACCCATCTGGCATTCTCCTGTGTGGTATGAGAAAGGCTTCTCAGCCAGATGATGGACTGTGTGTAAATACTGCTGAGGATGGAGAAAGGAGAAAAGTTCAGCTGGATAAATTAGCTGAAACAGTAAGACATACAGAAAACCAGAGATTCAAACTGGCCTGAGTGGAGGCATGCTGTTAAACTAGGTTATGCCGGTTTATACCTCTGTCCTTTTCATTTTTTACATCTGCTTTCCCATTGCTCACTAGGAAGAGACACAAACGTGTCTGTGTCTCAGTGTGTAACTCTATCTTTCAAGTGAAATACACTTATTCGTTGATTAGCTATTTATTAATCTTGTACTATATAGTGAAGGTAAATATAAATGAACGTGGGATTATTTACCTCCTCTTCTCATTAGTCCAGAAAACTAAGGAGTAACTGGACATGTCATCTTTCTGCCCTACGGGATGATGGATTATTGGGAATGGCTCTTATCCAGCTTGCACATTTAAAAATACAAATGTGAGTGTGAATCTACAATTATCCCAAAAGTTTTAAAATGTAAATAAACCGGTAAATAAAATACATATGTGTAGACCCTGCTCCAGATCTATCCCTTGGCATCACCAACAGAGACCTAACTCCTAGGCTGAATGGGCCCAGGGTTGGTCTGGCTTAGCATTTCTTTCTTCTTCCTTTTTAATTTTTTTAAAGATTGGCCCTGAGCTAACATCCGTTGCCAATCTTTTTTTCCTTCTTCTCCCCAGAGCCCCCCAGTACATAGTTGCATATTCTAGTTGTAGGTCCTTCTGGTTGTGCTATGTGGGACGCTGCCTCAGCGTGGCCTGAGGAGCGGTGCCATGTCCACGCCCAGGATCAGAACTGGTGAAACCCTGGGCCGCTGAAGCGGAGCGTGAGCACTTAACCACGTGGCCACGGGGCCCGCCTCTGTTTTGGCGCTTCTTATGCATGAATACAACTCAGCAACTAAGCAGGGAGAGCCAGGCCACTGGGCACTCTCATCGCCATTCCACAACCAAACAGCAAACCAGCAGCATTCAACATTGCCGCAGCAATTTGGTGAGAAATCCCAAGGCCCCCAACAGCGCTGAGAAATCCTTTCGCAACCATCTTTGTCTGCCAAGCTACAGGGATAGCCTGGCTTTGAGATTCTTGGCAATGGCCACCCTCACCTTTTGGTCTTCAATGTATTCAATGTCGGCTGTGTTGTAACCATCCCGCTGACCCTGATGGAGGACCTTGAAGCGCCTCTTGCCTATGCTGTCGACCACTGAGCGGCCATCGGCAAAGAATTGAACGTTTCTGATCTCTAGGATGCAGCCATATTCCGCAAACCTGTTTATTGGGAACGGAGTCAAGAAAGTAAATTCTTGATGAGTTGTTTCCCTGGCCTGGCCCCCAGCCATTTCTGTAACCCCAAGCTGCGCCTCGAGGGACTTCTGCCTATTTGCCTATCCCAGGTACTACAGCTACAACTACACAATAGGCAGTGCCTGTGCAAGAAAAAAATCTTAATGTATTAGTAGAACTGCTGCCATTTATTGATCACAGACTACGTTCTAGGTACTGTGCTCAGTGCTTTGTGTTCGTTATGAACACACCAATCCTCCCAATAAACCCAACGAGGTAGGTGCTATTACTGTACCCACTTTGCAGATAAGGAAACTGAGTCACAGAAAGGGTAAGTAACTTGCCCAAAGACAAACTCGCTCCAAGGCTGGAGCCAGAATATGAACCAAGGCAGTTGACTCTAGGGCCCATACTCTTACCAAACAAGTTTTACAGTATATACCACCCATTTAACAAAATATTAATCCTGTTCCTTTAAATAGGCAGCCTCTCACATCTAAACTAGGGGCCAGAGGGACCCTGTTCCTTACAAATGCTCAGGGTCATGAGCTGGCTAAATGTCAAGAGCTCAGGAGCTGTGCCTCCTCATCTCCTGGGAGGACCCCAAAGTAAAACAAAAACCCTCTCCACTCAACCTCCCTTTACTCACATAGCTCCTCACTTACCCTTTGACAGGATCACCAAGGCACATGCCGAACTGTCTTGTGCCTGTCTCAATGCATCTACGAATCATCAGACGGTAACAAGGCTCAAAGATGTGCAGGGGACAAGGAACGGTGGGATAGGCCATAGTACACACAAAAATCGGCACATTCTTATTTAAGCTGTCAGGAAGAGCAAATGACACGGATCTCAGAGCAACGGAGCAGAACACAGAAAGGCTGGTCAAACATCACCATGTGGTTCCCCCACAGGAGGGCAAGGAGACATCAAGTTTTGAGAGCTGATAAAAAATAATGAAATGCAACTGATGCTGTGGGCTGAGTCTCATTCTCTGGTACAGAGGTTAGCCTAAGGGCTAAGAGATTAAAATTGCCACTCCACACATTCTAATTTGGCTAAAGAAGTTCTCTAGTACCTTAACGTTGGGGTGATAGTTACGCTTCAAATTTTTTCTTTCTTTCCTGCTTTCCACTCAAAACAATCTCTTTGGGTGTCTTGCCGGCAGTATGGGGGAGGGTACTCGTGGTAAAAGTCGACCTAGCTCTCCAGAGGGATGGTGGGGAAATCTCTGCAAGGTCCCCGTGAGCATCTCAAATTTGCAAAGCCCCCAGAAGAACTGCATGGCAGGCCCAGTTGGGCGGAGGAGGGAGCAACAGAGAGGCAAGAGTAATCCAGCTCAGTGATGCTCAAACACTCCTCTGTGTCAGAATCACCAGGGGCCCTTAAATCTAGACACCTGAGCTGCAGTACCCCCAGGGACACTGGCGCACTTGCTCTAGAATCAGGACCCAGGTGTCTGCCCTTCAACAAGTACCCACGAAGATTCAGACACACAGCCTGATGGGCAACCACCAATGGGGCCAGCTCCTCCTGAATCACTGTTCTCTTATTTGTCTAGTAAATCTAATATAGGAACATCTGAACCTAAACCTACTGATAGAAGATATAAGATGATCTGCCCAACTCTCAAAAGGATTAAGTTTAGGATTCCTTTAAATAGAAATCCATCTAGTATATTCCAGTGTTCATTAATAAGACATTAAATAATATCTGAGAGGAGGGCTCCAAGAGACTGAAGGTGCACTTAAGAATTAGAGGTAAAGATAAAGATGCCCTGAGTAGATCTAATATAAGTCTATGAGAAAAACGGATTTCATTTCTAGCTTCCCAGGAAAACATGTTATTTAAAGTGAGAGGCACATTCAGCCAATCTGGTGGCAATTTAGAAAAGTTCTCTACAGGGTGGGCATAAAACCAAGACAGCTTTTGCCATTGGGAACCTCGCCCCCAGGATGCTATGAGGATTCCACTGGGGATGGGGAGGTGGGAGGGCGGCAGTATGGGAGGCAGAAATTAGTGATTGCCTCCTGCTTTTTCTGCTACGTGAGCTGTTCTTCCAGCCAGGCAGAGAGCCTGGAGTCCTACTTCTATCTCCATCCCTACGCTTCACGGCTCACAGTACCTGTGCACAGCAGAGGAAGCATATAACAAGCAGCATTCTTACTATTACCACTTGTAAGTGCTTCCTATGCACTAGCCCATTTGATCTTTATAACAAGGCCATGAGGTAAGAACTATTATTATTCCCAAGCTACAGATGAGGAAACCGAGGCCCAGAGAAGTTAAGTGACTTGCCTAGAGTTGTGAAGTATACTCACTTTGTGGCAGAACAGGGTCTTAAGCCCAGGTCTGGCCGACACCAAAGTTCTTAACCTCATAGCACCTGCTTAAGTACTTGAAAATAGTCTTGTGTATACTTCCTAAGTTCCCCTGATTAAGCTACTCCAATTTACTTCTGCCAGCGACACCCAGTTACTAGTGCCAAGATGTGAGCTGGTCAGTGATTTGGCTTATGCTTCTTCAGTGGTGTGCTGGCAAATGTTGAACAATGGCTCTCCAGGAAGAAGAAATCCCAGTTTACAGCATTTGCTGATTTCCGTGGTGTAAATACTCTCACCACGGCCAATTGCAAGCTACCAATGTGATATCACGGAATGAGGAGTTAGGAAGAAATGTGCATATTCAGCTTTATGAGCTAGTATGAGTGGAAATGAAAATAGAAACATGCATATACATACTTAGAAAGTTCTTCCATTTCCTCTTCATAAAGCCTCCTTCGTTCCTTCAGTTCTTCTGGAAGGAATTTAGCTATTAGCTCTTCCATTATCACATTTTTGCTGTATTTTCTTGATGCCAAGCACTATATGAGGAATAAAGCAATTAGATACTATGCAGTCATCGGAAAAACGCAAATCACTTCTGATGGAATCAGTAAAATAGTCAAACGACCCATATATTGGAGTAATTTGGACCCAAACATTAGCAGCTGATATTATCATAATGTATGTATTCTTTGGATGTCAGAGTTTTTAAAAAAAAACCACACACAATAGATTACTTTTATAATTAGAAAAAAATATTTTAACAAGGGAAAAAGACCTACATTGAAGTTTTAAAAATCTCATAGCTTTCCTAAAACACTGAAATTGAGACCATGTTATTGTTAAAAAAAAAATGGGGGGGGGGAATCCCTCCCTTTCTTTTTTCTGATTATTGTGTTTACAAGTTCACAGAAATGGTCTCCATCTGGAATATGCTGAAAATCAGTGGTCAAAAGGTTTAGGGGACTAAAAGGCAATTTTCAATCACTGATCCTTTGCTGCCCTGCCCCACCCCCACCCCAACTCCGATGCTTGGCTTCTGGACATTGCAAGTCTAAATATTTTTTTCTGCTCTAACTTTAGTGTTTTTTAAAAAACCAGCTAAATGCTAATGATTTTGTTTGTCTATTTGTTTTTTTAATATACCATCTAGGTATCACTGAAATTCTGTTATAAACCATGATTTCTGAACCAAATTCAGGCTCAGGTGCCACTATTACTCTCCTCCCAAACACCCCTCCCCCATGCACATCCAGGGATCTGTAAGTATTGGGTATTTAACGACGTGAACCAGACGATGGGAATTAAAACATCTGCAGAGAATTCCTTGCTATGGAAACTACCCACACAGACCCAGCAGGGGGAGCTCCTGAGTATAAAATGGCTGGCTTCAGACAACGTTTCCTTTCCCAGTCGGGCTATGTCTGTCTATTCTGCAGTGAACGTGACTGGAATAAGATATTTATCTATCTGGAAAATGGTGTAAGTGTGACCCTTTGTGAATATACAGATATAGATGAGAATCTCTTCTAGTCCGAGTCTGGGACCCCACAGCATCTGCCTCTAGGATGCCTTATCAGCCACTGCCAATGCCTGGCTGCAGGAGAATCAACTGCTTTGCCCAGTTCCAGCCCTTGGGGAAAAGCAATGACTCAGAAGGTAGCCAATCCAAGAAGGAGGTGACTCCTCTGCTGATGCTGAAACGAAAACCCAGAAAAGGCACATACTAAAACGTTAATGGTGGTTTTCTCCAAGTGATGAGCATATGGGTAGATTTTTCTTCTTCTTTCTTCTGCTTATCTGAATGTTGCAGTGTTACCACAACACATATATCATTTAAGTATAAGGACTATGAGCTTCTCACCTACAATCAGGCCAGTAAATCTCACCCCTTTACCTAAGCAAAGTATGACATTGACCCTCCCCCCAACGCAATACACATCCTCAGCGTTATCCTGTATGATTATTTCATGCCATTCCCTTAGTTTAAATGTTGGGGTGTTGGGAAAGCTTAACATGTGACTTCACCTAAAGATAGTCTTGTATCTGCAACCCCTCCTCAAGGATGACAGAGGTCAAGGAACATTAATACTGATTGTAAAATGTGGCACACAGGTCCATAAGGGAGGAAAAATAAGATAGATTCCTGAGTCTTCTTGTGCTGTAGGAAATTCCATCAGGTCCACTTGAAAAACAAAGGTGGCAGTTTGTGAGATTCATTTTTAGAGGACCTGGAAGCCCCAGAGCTTTTCAAGAAGCCAAGTATTTGCTAATAAGTACAGTGACTCCTGAGGGTTGGGACAAGGACCACATTGAAGGTGCAAGGTTTTTCTGGGGACTTGGGAGTGGTCTCTTCAAATTATGGAATAAACATTGATGATAGGGGAACATCAGAGCTCATCTAGTCCAAGCCCAGAGAGGACAAAAGATTCACCCAAGATAATAGTGAATCAGGCACCATGATGGGATTAGAACCAGAATCCATGTTTATCCTCAATTTAATATTTTTGTTTCCAACACAAATTAATTTCACTACCAATTTAGTTCATAAAAAGCTAAATGTTGCCTCATTTTCCTGAAGGACTTTGTGGAGAGGGGACAGATGGCTATAAGACAGGAGAAATCCATAGATGGCCTGAAGGGTTATTTTGCCCCAGCACAGTGCAGAGGTTTGGGATCCAAGAGGACACCGTCTTAGTAAATCAATTACAAATCAGCTAACCCAATCAAGAAAGAAATAATCTTTTACCTGTGAAAGACCATCTTTGCACAGTGGACACTTGGCGTTGTGATCTAGGCATCTTTCAAGGCATTTTAAGCAAAATGTGTGTCCACAAGGTGTTGTGACTGGCTCATAGAACAATCTGGAATTTAGGAATCAAAATGGAAGAAAACTGCAATATGACCAAAAATAAAAGACAGAGCTACTCAATGTTAAGATTTTATAATACTATTGGAAAATTCTGTGTGTGTTTGAGGGGGGGGAATTTCTTTCCTTTTTAAAAAAAACCCTGTTGTTGTTGCACCTCAGAAAAGCATTTGATTTTTATTTCTGAGCTGGATTTTAAAATAATGCATTTATTAAAGTTTAGGACTTAGCTAGATAATTTTGTAACATTAGTTCTAGTCAGTCTCTTCTGAAGCATCCAGATTTTTTTTCCCGGTCAGATCCCAGAAAAATAAAGATTAATGCCCAGTGTCTGAATAGATTCCATTCTAAAATATTTAGCCAACCTGTTCACCTGAGTATATGTAAACAGATAGATAAACACACAGATAAACACACACACTCTCACACATTTACCCATTAAGTACTTTATATCACATTACATAGCTGTTTGCTAACCTTGATTCCATTTTTCACCTAAGCAATGTTTACTGCCTGAAGGATCTCGAAACTGCACCTGTAACAAACATATAACTGCCTTTTATAAGGATGGATCATTTTCCTAGGAATAGTAGAGTAACATGGTTAATGTGCTTACTGATAGATAGATAGACAGACACATACATATACACATACGTCATTAGATCCTATTTTAATTGCTTTGCAGGAGCTGGATATTTTCAAAGCAATCTGGGGATCTTTTAAAAAGCTGTCCTATACCTTCAGAGATTCATGGATTTACTTTGCTTAAAGAAAGGCTCACCTGCAGCAGGACCACTTGGTGGGGGCAGCTGAAGATGATGGTTCATAAGTGGGGCTCGCACTCACCAAGAGGGCAGAAAGAAGGGAAAGACGCCTGACCAGCCTATTTTGACATCACGAGAATGTTCAGTTGAGAGGAAGAGGCCGTCAGCTGCACAGCCCCCTCGTGTGGCCAGGAGGTGCACCAGCAGCCTAGCCCACACTGCCAGGCTGAGCAGAAGAATCAAAACGTCAAGGCTGAAAAGTGCCTGAGAAAAATTGAACCCACCAACCAGAATCAAACTGAGGTCCAGAGGGGATGAAGTTGCTTATCTCCGTGTGCCAGCCAACCCTTGGCAGATGACAGTGTATGCAACTTCCACTTCCAGTCATGTGCTCTTTCTAGTAGAACAATGATTCTCAACCATTGCTGTGTGTGAGAATCACCTGGGGGGCATTTTCTTTAAACAGCTTTATTGATGTATAATTGACATGTGACACACTGCACATACTTAAAGTGTAAAATTTTATAAGTTTTAACATATGTACTCACGTATGAAACCATCTCCACGATCAAGATCGTGAATATACCCGTCACCCTCAAACGTCTCCTATGCCCCTTCATAAGCCCACCCTCCTGCTCCTCCCCACCCCACCACCCTCATCACCTGGGGAACTTTGAAAAACGACATGTGCCTGGGACCACACCTGCAGAGATTCAGATCAGTTGGTCTAGGGTAAAGGCCAGTTATCAAGAGCTTGTAAAGCTCCTCAGGTGGTTTTAATGTGCAGGCAGGGTTGAGAATCACTGTATTACACAATCCTACTAATCTCTGCATAGGCGAATCCTCTGTGTTGTCGCCAAACCTAATTATCAGAGTCACCTGTCAAGCTTTAAAAAACAGACACAGTGAGGCCCCCGTGGATAAAGTCTGAGATTCAGCAGGTCAAGGGGAGGGGCAGAGATTTGCGATTTTGCACCAGCCAATGAAGGTCTGGAATAGGAGAGAGACTTTACATATATTCGCTTTGTTCTACTTTTTGAATGTTATAATCCTGTTTAAAAAGCAGTTAATTTAACAGAATTAATAAATTTTAGTTAAGTTGGCCAAAAGGTAAAATTAATTTTCAAAAAATTCTTTATGACGGAGGTCCTAACTGGTGCACAAAGGCAAGAAAAATAAACAAAAGTGAGAATTGGAAAGAAAAAAAACAAATCTGTCATTAGTCACAAATCATATGCTGATGAACTTAGAAAATATAAAAACAAATCTACAGAATAATTATTAGAATTAATAGGAATTGCTAGAATTAGCAAGGCTTCTAGGTAAGTATACATACACACACATACAATTGTAGTTCCATATACCAGCAACAAACATGAGAAAACACATTTTTTAAAAGAGGACATTTACAGCTGCTTTTAAAAATCGAGTACCCAGGAATAAATCTAACAGAACATGCATGAGACCTCTGTTGGAAAAAACTGTAAATGCTCCATTGAAAGAGAATAAAGAAGACCTAAAATAAGTCCCAATAAAAATCCCAATGGGTTATTTCACTTGTTTGTTTGTTTTTGTGGAACTTGACAAATTGATTTCTAAACTTTATAAGGCAGGGCAAAGGGCCAAGAAGAGCCAAGACGCTTCTGAAGAGCAGCAGTGTGAGAGAACTTGCTCTACCAGACATCAGAACATAAAATAGAGCTGTAGCCATTAAAACAGTGTAGGACTAGCACAAGAACAAAGAGACCCGAGGAATAGAAGAGAAAGCCAAGAAATTGACCCAGATCCAGATTCTTGATTTATGACAAATGTGGCACTTCAAAGCAGAGTGAGGATTTTCAATACACAAATAGCACTCTCAATAAATGCTATTTGGGATGGTTAGCCATCCATAGAGGGGAGTGAAGGTGGACTGTCTCTCACACCATACACAAAAATCAATTCCATGTGGGCTATAAAAATAAATGTGAAAGGCAAACAGTAAAGCTTTTAGAAGATGAAATATAATATCTTTATGACCTCAAGGTAAAAAAAAGATTTGTTTAATAAGACACACACAAAAACACTAACTGTAAATGAAAAGATTGATCATTTTTACTGCATTAAAACTAAGAACTTCTAAGTTCATCGAAAGATGCCATTAAGAGAGCAAAAGGCAAGCCACAGAGTGGGAGAAGGTATTTGCAGCACACATGACTAACTAAGGACTTGTCTCTAGACTATACATAGAGCTCCTATAAGTCAGTAAGAAAAAGAGATAACCCAATCGAAAATAGGCAAAGATTTATATGCCCCAGCACACATAAAAACTGTTCATAGCAACATTGTCCATAATATCCCCAAACTAGAAACAACCCAAATATCCATCTATAACAGAACTGATAAATAAATTGTGGTAGATTCATACAATGGGACACTATACACTAATGAAAATGAACAACCTTTACCTACATGCAATAACACAGATAACTCTTAATACTGAGGAAAAGAAGTCAGAACAAAAGAATACATTCTGGATAATTCAATTTATATAAAGGTGTTTTTTTAAATAGGCAAAACTAAATTACACCATTTAGAGATGCATACTTGGGTGGTAAAATTATTTTTTAAAAAAAGGAGATAAAAGTCAAGATGGTGATATCAGGGGGAGGGGAAGGGACTCGTGATTTGAATGTAGCATGTGGGTGGCTTCTGGGATCCTGGCAATGTTTTATTTCTTGAACTGAGAAAACTGTGTGAGTATCCTTTTTACAATATTGTGTTAAGAGAATATATTTATATTTTTATGTGCTTTTCCACTGTGTATATTTCACAATTTAAAATGTTTTTCAAAAGCATGATTTGCAGACGCAGACTTCAAGATAACAAAGACAATGAGAGACAAAGAGGGGCAGTATATAATGATAAAAGGGACTTTCCACCAAGAGGACATAACACTTATGGATATATATGCAACTAACACAGGAGCACCAAAGTATATAAAGCAACTATTAACGCACCCAAAGGGAAAAATTAACAGCAACACAATAATCAACTCCCCACTCACATCAAGGGATAGATCACGTAGACAGAAAGTCAACAAGGAAACAGTGGCCTTAAATGAAATACAAGACCAGATGGACTTAATGGATAGATATAGAACATCCCATCCCAAAACAGCAGAATACGCATTCTTCTCAAGTGCACATGGAACATTCTCAAAGATAGATCATACGTCAGGAAACAAGGCAAGCCTCAATAAATTTAAGAAGATTGAAATCATAGCAAGCATCTTTTCTGACCACAATGCTATGAAACTAGAAATGAACTACAAGAAAAAGGCTTGGAAAGTCACAAGTATGTGGAGACTAAACAACATGCTACTGAACAAGCATTGGATCACTGAAGAAATCAAAGGAGAAATAAAAAGATACCTGGAGACAAATAAAAATGAAAACACAACATACCACCTCTTATGGGATGCAGCAAAAGCAGTACTAAAAAGGAAATTTACAGCAATATGGGCCTACCTCAAGTAATCTTAAACTACACCTAATGGAATTAGAAAAAGAAGAACAAACAAATCCCAAAGTCAGCAGAAGGAGGGAAAAGAATGAAAATTAGAACAGAAATAAATGAAACAGAGACTACAAAGACTATAGAAAGGATTGATGAAACTAAGAGCTGATTCTTTGAGAAGATAAACAAAGTTGACAACTCTTAGCCTGACTCATTAATAAAAAAAAGAGAGAAGGCTCAAATAAATAAAATAAAAAATGAAAGAGGAGAAATTACAATGGATACCACAGAAAAACAAGGGATTATGAGAAAATACTATGAAAAACTATATGCCGACAAATTGGATAACCTAGAAGAAATGGTTAAATTCTTAGACTTATATAACCTCCAAAAAGTGAAGCAAGATGAAATAGAGAATCTGAATAGACCAATCACAAGTAAAGAGATGGAAACAGTAATCAAAAACCTCCCTAAAAACAAAAGTCCAGGGCCAGATGGCTTCTCTACAGAATTCTACCAAACATTCAAAGAAGATTTAATACATATCCTTCTCAACTATTCCCAAAAATTGAAGAAGATGGAATGCTTTCTAACTCATTCTATGAGGCCAACATGACCCCTGATCCCAAAAACAGACAAGGACAACACAAAGAAGGAAAATTACAGGCCAATATCACTGATGAAAATAGATGCAAAAATCCTCAACAAAATATTGTCAAACCAAATACAGCAA